AATTAATTTATTGGAGAACATCTGTAAATGATCCTCTAAGTCTTTTTTAATTGAACACGGTAACATACGGCATGGCATGTACTCCATTCTTGGCCATCAGAAGTGTTCACTTGATTGCAGATCTTCACAAAGAAAAATTTCCAGTCGGCTCTGCAACTTTAAAAACGGATATGTATGTAGACGATCTCCTAACGGGCGCAGATAACATAAGCGATCTACACATAAAGGCCGTTGAAACAACCAAGCTGTTAGCGGAAGCAGGCCTACAGCTAGCTAAATGGAAATGTAATCAGCGAGTGGCTAACAGACTCTGGAGAGTTCGAAATAAGGCTCGAAGATATGGGTGTGACCAAGGGTCTCGGTATGGCATGGAAGCCAAAAGCTGATGTCTTTTGTTTTAAATATGACCTGCTAGTGAAAAAATATACAACGAAGCGGTCTGTCGTTTCAACTGTGGCATGTTTGTACGTTGTTTGTAAGTCAAAGGTTGCCCCAATAAGGGCAATTTCACTACCCCGTTTGGAGTTGTGCGCAGCCGTCTTATTGTGTTCAACTTGGAGCAAAATAAAAACTAAATTAGTTCAATATATTAATGATATTCATTTTTGGACGGATTCAAATATCGTTTTGCAGTGGATCAAAATGCATTCGTCAACCCTAAATTGTTTCGTTGCCAATCGAGTTTCGGAGCTGCAGATGAATTCCGCAGGCATAAATTGGAGATATGTACCTACGAAGCAAAATCCAGCAGACATTGTATCACGCGGTTGCATGGCACGTGAACTCTTAAACACTATGTGGTTTAAAGGACCAACATTTCTCTCCAGAAATACAGGATCATGGCCTGAGGAAGCGACAAAGACCTCGTTCAGTAAACTCGAGTTGGAACAGCGGAAACCAATTACACTCAAGTGTACCGTCGGTGTCACAGATGATAACATCGTTAAAAATGTCATTGCAAATTATTCATCATACCGGCGTATATTAAGGGTGATGGCATTCGTTCTACGACCGTTCAACAAAATAGTCGCTAACAAAAATACATAGAATTTCTTATTCGTATCTCCAGATGAACTCCAGCAGACATATTTATACATTGTTTCATCCATTCAGCACTCACATTATGCACATGAAA